AACCTGCGCTCACAGCAGAAGGGCCTGTTATAATCGCGAATCGTACCAGCGCTTTCGAAACACTTCTCAAGGAATTATTTCGATTGCGCCACGACAAGGAAGCGGATGTGCAAGTGCTGCGATAAGCACCACCTTGCACATTCCGCATTTAGGACCTCAATTCCAAACGCATCGAACCATTACCAAATATGGTAATGTTCTTGTCGCCAGGCACCCCCTCCGACAAGCCTAAAACAATACTACAAAAAAGCGGAGAGACCGCTCGCGTCAGGCTTAACATCTCGGTCTCTCGCCGCGACATACGCGTCATACGTGACTTATGCGCGGTTCGCATATTAACTCATAAGTACGGGAGTAGTAATTAAAACTCATACAAGTGTACAATTTAAATAAACCTTTTTTATATTTAACACTACAAGACGTAGTCAAAACCTCTACTACATTTTATTCACCGCCACACACCCTGCCGCGCCCGCATCACCGATCTCGAACTCTTTTCGTGTCCTGGCAACACGGGCACGACAGGCCAGGCCGTTACGACAACGGAGTGGGAAGAACTCCGGGGGGAGATTCGGCAGTTCCGGGGACTTGTCCCACCTCAGGGCAGAGAACGACACCCTCAAAGCGGAGCTGACGAAGGCTAGATCAGAGAAGGAGAAGATGGACAAGGATATAAAGGAGAAGGAAATTTTGGAAAAGGAGATGAGGGAGAAGGGTACGGGCGTAGTCAGCCCAGCTATAGATCCCGCCCCGACACCCTCAGGAAGACCCAAAAGGCGGGCTGCTGCCCAACGTAAAATGATTGTGGACAGCAGCGATGATGAAGGCCAAATTGGGGATTGGTGGGGTGGGAGCTGCGGCCCCTGAGTCCGCTCCCCCACTCGCCGAGCCAGCCAGTAGGTTGCTGCTTGAGGAGGTAATTCCCTCAGCATACCGCCCCCCTCTCAAAGGAGTGCGCGCCGAAATTGAGCCGGCTTGGCAATATGAAGGGCCCAAGGCCCTCACGGTGGACGACCTTAACGCGGCGCTTGAGGTCATATTGCCGCAACTGCTTGGCCGCATAGGGCTGTCCCCTGAAAGCGGCAAAGCGGCGGAGCCCTCCTCTTCTGGTCCCAACCTTGGGTCCGCCATCTCCGAAAAGGGAGGGCACCCAAGCTTGCGGAGCCGGGAGAGGGATAGCCCATCCTTTCCGTGCCAGCCCTCAGCGGGGATGGCGGCGGGTGGCAACCCGCCTCCCGCCCCAACGCCAACGGACAACGCGGAGGGAAGAAAGAAGAGCAAGGGCAGGAAGAAAAAGAAAGGGAAAGGAGCCGCGGCCTCTGCCGCCGCTGCCCAACCCCCCCCCCAACAACCTCCCCCGCTTCTCCTCCTACTCCCCCCACCAAGGGAGGAACCAAGGATACCGCAGCGTCCGGTAAGGCGGCGGCCGGGAATACGAGGACGGCGAGCACAAAGCCGCCCCCGCCCCCTCGGCCGTCGAAGAACCCTGCTCCTGCGCAGCAGGAATTGTGGTCAACGGTGGCCGGGAGGAGGAAGGGTCGCAAGCCGGCCCCTCAACTTCCCCCAGCTCCCTCGGGAGGCTCTGAGAAGGGGAAAGCGAAACCCCCTCTGGGGGTAACCAGCCCAACAAGGGAAACAAGTTGCGGCCCCCCAAGACGGCCGCAATTATGGTAACGTGTCCTGAGGGTAAATACGCTGAGGCCCTCAGGACATTTAAGAGTAGGGTCTCCCTCGGGGACCTGGGGATCCCTATAGTTAAAAATAGACGCGCCGTCACCGGCGCGCTAATCCTGGAGATCCCCGAACCCGATGGCGACCAAAAGGCCAATATGCTGGCCGAAAAAATGAGGGCGCTCGCCGATCAGGAGGGTGTCCGAGTCGATCGATCCGTTAAGAAAGCGGACTTTAGGATCCGAGATCTGGAAGACTCGGTCATCCCGGAGGAAGTGTCCGCAGCGGTGGCGAGCGCTGCTGATTGTGAGGCCTTCGCTGTGAAGGTGGGGCCCATAGCTAGGGGCCCCAGGGGGCTGGGTACAACCCGGGTGACGGCTCCGATGGCCGCCGTCAAAAAGGTGATGTCCTTGGGGCGCCTGAAGGTTGGTTGGGGGCTCGCCCGCGTGGAGTTGTTGGCGGCGAGACCCCTGACGTGCTTCAGGTGTCTTGAGGAGGGCCATACTCTCAGCCAATGTAGCAGCACCCAAGACCGTTCCGGGTGCTGCTACCAATGTGGCGAGTGTGGTCACAAGGCTAGCGAGTGCACGGGGCAGTTGGGCTGCCCCGTGTGCTCTAAGGATGGCAAAAAGGCCGTCCACCGTCTGGGCGGCGAAGCTTGTATCGCCGCCCAGAAAAAGAAGAGGAAAGGAGGGAGGAGCGCTGTGGGGAAAGCCCGAACCCCGACGAGTGCTCCCCCTCCAGCGGCCAGTGCGGCTGCAGTAACTCAGCCGTTTTCGGCTGAGACGACCGCACTGGTCGAAAAGGAGTTCCCGCCCCTGGAGCAGAGGAAGCCCAGGGGAGGGAGGGGTAAAGGGGGGATGGCGTTGGAGGGGCCAACGGCTCCACAGATAGTGGAAGTGGAAATGGAGGAGGTGCCAACAATGGCGGATCTTCTGCCGGTGGGCGAGAACGGCTGCCTCCCACCGGCAGACCAAGTGGAAGTTTGCCTGGAGGGGCAGGATAAGGCCTAAAAATGGCCACTAGGCTCCTCCAGGCGAACGTCAATCACTCCGCGGAGGCCCAGGACTTACTCCTACAGGCCCTCGCGGAGCGAAATGCTGGTCTAGCGCTGATATCGGAGCCCCACCACATCCCTGAGAGGGACAGCAGGTGGTTGGGGCTCCGGCATGAGCTCCCGGGCGCTGCGATATATTGGCGCCCGGGTGAGGAATCTCCCCGCCCTAAATTAATTAGGGCGGAGAAATACATCGTAGCGACGGAGTGGGGCGCAATGAGGGTGGTCTCAGTGTACGCCCCTCCACGCTCGAGGATATGGTCGAGGGCCCGCTTCGAGGGTTTCTTGGAGCAGGTGGGGCGCGTGCTGGACGAATGCGCGCCCCACCCAGTGATAGTCGCCGGGGACTTCAACTCCCACGCCAGGGAGTAAGATTCCCGGCGGACGGACCCCCGAGGCCAAGACCTCCTCGAGTGGACGGCGACGAGGGGCCTGTTCCTTATCAATACAGGCTCCGTGAGCACCTGTGTGCGCCCGCAGGGCGAGTCCATTGTGGACCTGACCTTCGACAACCGCCCCTGTACCGCTTGGGGGGAGCTGGCGGGGTCAGATGAGGGTAAGCCGGGCGGTGTTCGCCTCCGGGAGGTTCTGAGGGGTAACCACTCCCCCACTCTCGGAGGTGGCACTGTCCGGCAACGAGGAGGGCCAAAAAAAGCCTAATTCGTGTCCCGGCCTAAGCCCGGACACGAGGGCGGGCGCGATCAGTGCGCCTGCCCGGGCCGCCCAGTACCAGGGGCGGCCCCCTGGCGGACTTTCCAACCTTGGGGGGGTAACGGTCAGCCGCGCTCTGTGGCAGACCTAACCTCCCCCCCCGGGGGTTGGGGACAGGGGAGGGGGTCGGGAGCGGGCGGGTAATCCCGCTCTCGGCCCCTCCCGACTCGGAGGGAGGGGCTGCGAGGAGGAAGGTATCCCCTCCTTGCAGCCAACAAGGAATACAAAAGCGCCGGCCGACTAGGCCGGCGCGGGAAGAAGCGCGCAAACGCGAAGGCGCCGAAAGCCCCCTGAAGAATACTTGAAAGTGTACCGGGGGGTCCTCGAATAATGGCGCACGTGATGGACATCCCCAGGGGTTTTAGTGGGTATACCTCTCCCATTTATTAGGGGGAGGGAGTCCCACATACCCCGGGAGGCTTATCCGAGCCTCCGGGGAATGCGTAACGCATTTCCCCTGGGTTATCAAAAAAAAAAAAAAAAGGATAAAAAATCAGTTGTTTTCACGGTTACTCAACAATCAGTTGTTTTCACGGCTACTCACAATCAGTTGTTTTCACAGCTACTCAAAATCAGCCAATTTGACCGAAAACCATTTTCCATAGGTTTTGTGCGGGGTCCTTTTAGTTATTTTCTATTTTTCACAGAACAAAATGTTTCATAACTCAGAAATAAAAGGTTTTCGGAGTACTGTTCATTAAGAGTTTTTGGTTTGTTTTAACGAGTACTACATACCTCTAAAATTTGGTACCACCTTTTGGGAACACCCTGTATATATATATGTGTGTGTGTGTGTGTACGCGCGCGCGTGTATATATATGTCCTTTTATATAAACAATGTATGTGAATATATGAGTACATTGTTGTGTGTACAACTATTGTTATTATTATTACCGTCTTTATTTATTGAAATGTATTTTGATTATATATTCTACATATCACTACTAATTGCCTATTATTATAAGGAAGTTCGATGAATACATGTTGCGTATATTATCGAATAGATTAGGCGGCGACGGATGGCAATACAGTTATATAAGGATATTTCCATCTATTTTTCAACAAGTCCATACGTCGGAAAATCATATTATTATATATAGTTGGATTCAGAATGAAATATACTTTTTTTTGGTAGACGCTAAATTTTAAAATTATAAAAAAAATTGTTGAGTGGTGGGGGTATGTTGGCAATAATTTAATTTTTCAAATATCTGATTTTGTTATTGCAAAGTACTCCTAACACCATTTAATTTTTATTTAGAAAATTTTTTTCTATCTCTTATACTTTTGACGAAACATGCTCCTAAAGAAAAAAAACCAATTTTTTTCAAAGAAGTGTTTTGCCCCCTAAAAGTCTGCCTGGGCACATTTAAAAAAATGTCTCCTCTTTTGGTCTAGAATACAACATATTTCAAGCTCATCCAAATAGGAGGTAACCTATGTGGGGTTTCTTCTTAGTAAAAAATACTATATAGAATACATAATTTAATCCATATGATAAAAGAACTGTTTTGTAGACCAGCGTTATTAAAAGATTTAACGGTGTATATCGCGTACTTACATTTAGCATACTGATTATCTTCTATGTTCCATAACGCATTTTTATCTCTCATATTTGGATTGCAAGAGACTTCTTGTTGATTATATCCCCTATATAAATATATATTTTTGATTATTTACTAGATAGCCAAATCTGCAAGAGCAGATTTTGCATAGTGTCTGTTGTAAATTCTGTTAGCAAGTTGTTAGCAAGAATACTACAGGATCTGATAACAGAGTATGATGACAGACTGTCGGCAGAAAATGAGCAGGATCAGACGTTTCAATATATTTAACCCTGTGTATATACACCGGGGTCTGCGAGACCCCAGGCAAAGTTTGAAACTCTAGCATTGGTAGAGAGAATAAGTAAGGGAGATACGACCGCCATGAAAAAATATTTGAGATCTCTTCTGTAGATAACAACTGCCGGAGCAGTCAATTGTCCGTCGATTTTGTGGCAGTTCATATGTAAAGTAAGTCCGAGGTCTCCCAGATCCCAATGTATACTTCGTGCAACTTTCTTTGCAAATAAGTTTATTTTGTAATTAATTTTATTCGAGTTTATAGTGTAAATATATATTTTATTCGAGTTTATAGTATAAATATATGTTCTGTAGTTAATTTTACTCAAGTTTATAGTATAAATATATATTCTAATATCAGATTATATTTCTATCATTTTTTTCATGAATATATTGTTATCGGTTTTACTAGATTTAAGCATGAGATTGTTACATAAAGTATAGTTATACATAAAGTATTGTTAACATAAAGTATAGCAATAGTTAACACTTGCATTTAGGTAAATAATGAAAATTCATAGCTACAATGAGATAAAAAAGATACTCAAGTTTCAACCGGAACCGGAGTATCTTAGTGAATCAAGCAGTTCAGAAGAAGACAGTGAAAAATGCATGTCTGAATTCAAATCAGAGGATGAAGTTAATGATATGGATCCGGAATTTCTGCGGAAGAAAATTCTAGTAACGATAAACTAGAACTTGAAGCAGACTCCTGTGAAGAAGCCTAAGATTACTGAAAAACCAAGGAAGTCCTCATCCAAGAAATTTATATATGGTAAAGACCGTTACAAGTGGACAACAATTGCAACTAAAACAAAAAAGCAAAAGTACGCTATTCTTTGCAACGATTAGTCCTTTGTATTACGAATTTTTCCTTACACACGATTCACTTGAAACTTGTTACTTGCGGGTTTTTGAGGACGCTGATTACGAATCTGAACTCACAATTTCGAAATTCAAAATGGCGGATTCAATGTGATGGACCAAAATATGAAAAATAACTTGATTAGAATAAAACTCGACAATCGGGATTTTTAGGGTCGCTAATTACGAATCTAATAAATTCAAAATTTTGAAATTCAAAATGCGAAAAGTGACTTGATTAGGATATAACTCGACACTCGGGGATTTTTAGGATCGCTGATTACGAATCTGAACTCAAAATTTGAAAAATCAAAATAGCTGATCCATTATAGCACACCAAAATTTATACATTTTTTCTATTTTTCTGAAACTCGTTTTCTCGGAGTTCTTCAGATTGCTGATCGCTAATCCGTTGTTAAATTTTTAAAATTTAAAACAGCTAATCCAATGTGACGGACAAAAAATTGAAAATTTTTATTTATTTTTTCTAAACATGATATCTAGCGTTTTATAGATAGTTAAATGATAAATCCTTTCTCAAATTTTCGATATTCGAAATGGCCCATCTATTGTGGCAAAGAATTTGAGAAAATTATTAATATTTCTAAAAATCATCATCTGAAGTTGCAAATTACGAATTTGAAACTACATTTTCATAATTCAAAATAAACGATATGATATAGCAAAAACTTAAATTACAGAATTTTGTTAATAACCAGTATTTAGATTTATTAGGTCTGTGATTATGAATCTGAAATCTTTTGGAAATTTAAGATACTTCATTCAATATGATGATGATGATGAAAATATAATAAAAATTATCTGTCTTTCTAATAATCAGAATCAACTGTTTTCCATTTCGCTGATCATGAATATTGTGCCAGTTTTGCACGGGAGCGTTCCCGGAGCACGCGAGGAATTTATGATCCAGGTCTGCTGTACAAGATTGGTTTTGGCCTTAAAAATTCTAAGCAACTCAATTTTCAAGCAAAGTCGAAATTTTCGTGAAGTCAAGAAATGTAATCAAATGTGGTTGCTCGTGTAGTATCAGAGAAGTATGTAGAACGTACGATACTATATAACAGACCTGTACGCGGGAGCGCTTCCGGAGTACGCGAGAAATACAAGCCTGCTGTACAAAATTGGTTTTAGCCTTAAAAATTCTAAGCAACTTAATTTTCAAGTAATTTCGTGAAAAGAAAAGTTGTTTTTTATCCGCCATATTGAATTTGACAAAAAAACTATTCTTAAATTCAATACCAACGACTCCAAAAACCTTTAAGTACCGAGTTTCGTCCAAATCAAGTTACTTTTCACATTTTCGCCCTCCATATTGCATTCGCCATCTTAAATTTGACAAAGTTAACCTCAGATTCGAAATCAGCGACCCCAAAAACCCCTATATACCTAACCTTATGTAAATGCACAACTCATAAACTTTCATAGTTTTTATTAAATTGAATTTATTCGTAGAAAACCACCATTTTTACCATTTTGTTTATTTATAACAATCATATTATTAACAATAAGCAAGATTCTTTATTTTTCGTAACTCCCATAATGTTTGAGAAATATAAAAATATCAAATTTGCTAAATAAATCATTTAAACTCTATGAAAAAAATAATAAAATGTGAATAAATGTAGGTGAGTCTCTGGGTAACCCGCTGTGACTCTAAAGGTTAGTATCAATGCAAGTTTCATCGATCTTTGTTGTGTTCTGAATGCATTGACGAAGTTCGATCGTAATTATACGACGCGTCTCATTCGAAGATGATTACCTGTAGTACCGTTAGTTATGCTGAAATTCACAACGTTTAGTTATTTTGTTTCTCTCGTTATCTGACCTGCGTAAGTGACCGACTTCATATTATTTAAAGTTTCGAGTTGTTACTTAGGGATGGGATTTTTTTTTATGAGTGGGATATTATCTTCGAACGAGACGCGTCGTATAATTACGATCGAACTTCGTCCGCCTTTTGCGGACTCGTTTGATCGATTAATTATACATCACGTTCGAAGATCATTATCTATAGATATTTAGAGTTTGTAACAACTCAATTAAAATTTATTGTAAAGGAAGAAAATTCATATAATACTTTTGAAATGTATAAATGTATATTTATAACAGAATAATTTGCGACGCCTTTTCTTACCAATGACGGACAGTCGCTTGTCCGCCTCGTCGACAAATTACCGCGGTTCCCGGATTTCGGTACGAGCTCACCAACTCAAGTTGGGCGCCAGGTGCGGTAAGGCCGCACCTCCTCACGAAGTCGTATTCGCCAAAATTTCAAAGTATAGTCCGTTGTCGATATCGCGGGAACTTAACGGGACCGGTAGCTCTCTTTTTAATTTGAGTCGGAGGAGGGATGGGTTTTATCGTGGCGGAAAGCCGAGGAAAGATGCAATCGTATTCTTGGCACAGATCTTTATTCCTATGGTACAGGCAATTTCAAGTGCGTCTTTCTATCTTTCGCACGCGTCGGTATGGAAAAGGAATCTCCCTCGCCCCTACTCGGGTTCTTCATCCTGTTTTTGCGCGACCACTCCGCATGCGTTATTCCCAGACGACAGTTTTCTACGTTAATATGCAAACAAATGGGAGGTCTTACAAAAGGTCGGACTCTTCCTCGCCTCCACTCCGGGCCTGCAGTCTCGTACTTTGTCGATCGCCTCAGTCTCCGCTACGGTCGCTCTGTGGCTGGACCCTGGCTCGTTCGGATCGGAGATCGGTCATTCGCTGCAGAGGTTTCCCACGATATAATTTCGCCCTCGGTAGGCCACGTCAGCGAGAAGACGGCACAAAAGATCGGAATTTCGTCGGTATGCTCTAATTTCGGTAACGCGCTCACGAACCAGATTGACGTCTCGAGAATCACGGAAATCTCCAGAGAGAGTCTCACGTCAAGTCTCTCGCTTTCGCGTTGCTCTCGCTTTTTCTCTTCTCGTCGAGTCTTCCTCTCCCTCTCTCTCTCTCTCTCTCTCTCTCTCTCTCTCTCTCTCTCTCTCTCTCT